CGCCCGCGAGCCCGCACGCATGCTCTCGCGAGCACGCACACACACACACACCCGCACACACACACACACCCACGCGCACGCGCGCGCACGCACGCACGCGCACACACGCACGCACGCGCACGCGCGCGCGCGCAGACAGACAGCCAGCCAGCCAGCCAGACAGACAGACAGACAGACAGACAGAGACAGGCAGACACACATATACACATACTCGCACACACGCGCACGCGCACGCGCACTCGGACGCGCACGCGCGCAAACGCACGCGCACGCGCACGCGCGCGCGCACGCACACGCGCACGCACGCGCACAACGCACACGCGCACGCACGCGCGCGCGCACCCGCACGCACGCGCGCGCACACGCACGCGCACACGCGCACACACGCGCACTCGCAGACGCACACGCGCATGCACGCGCATGCACACGCACACAAGCGCACACACGCACGCACACACGCACTCACACACACACAACCACACACACACACACACGCACACGCACACACGCACACGCACACCCACGCACACACATGCACGCACGCGCGCACGCACGCGAGCACACAAACACACGCCCGCACGCCCGCACGCCCGCGCGCACGCACGCACGCACCCGCCCGCCCGCCCGCACGCGCGCACGCACGCACGCACACCCGCGCGCACGTACGCACGCACGCACGCACGCACGCGCGCGCGCATACACGCACGCACGCACGCACGCACGCACGCACGCTCGCTCGCTCGCTCGCACGCACGCACGCACATACGCACGCGCGCGCACGCACGCACACACCTACGCACGCATGCACGCACGCATACACACGCAGACACACGCACACACGCGCATGCGACCATAGTCACGCTCACCGGCGCGGTGTTCAGCACCAGTCGACGGGCGGGTCGCACGCATATTAAATTCGCCCCAAGACCGAGGTGGAAAACAATAATTCCGCGTTCTGAGCCAGCAGCTCACTTCGGGCAGTGCGCGACATTTGGAGATTTCCGAGTCAATGTGCCAATCGTCGTCCGAGTCTGTTCTTCTGACTTCGGGTCGCGAATGGATGCAAGTGTCGCCCGATTCAATCTCCCAATCGTAATCTTCCTGTCCGGAGGTCTGGGGGAGGTGGAGGGGGAGGAGGAGAGAGGAGCAAGGAGGAGGGAGGAGAGCGAGCTGGGAGGAGGGGGTAGGAGGAGGGAGGAGGAGGAGGAGGAGGAGGAGGAGGAGGAGGAGGAGGAGGAGGAGGAGGAGGAGGAGGAGGAAGAGGACCAGTGTAATCCCAAGATCCACCGACGATGTTGGCATACACCCTCCCACCAAGCTGCCTCTCCATAGTCCCTTGCACGGGTTCACCACTGAGGGAAATGCTCCGTTTGGAGACACATACCAGGCAGCTCGCCCCGTGGCCCGCCGCCAGCCCCACGCAAAGGGGCGAACATATATACGGGCGCAGCACCGCGCTGGATGTGTAGCCTTTTGCTGACCGCCCGTGCGTGGCACATGGTGCTGCTTGGTTACGTTTGGGAATATCCTTACCGCCTTGGCTTCAAACTTTCAGCGCCATAACCTCACACCCCTCGTTTAAAACTACCAGAGAAGTACCCTCACGCCCCTGGTTTCAAGCTGCCAGCGAAATATCCTCACGTCCGTGGCATAAAACTGTCAACAAAATGTCCTCACCCCCGGACTTACAACTGTCAGCGAACTATCCTCACATCCCTGACTTGAACCTGCCAGCGAAGTATCCTCAACCCCCTGACTCAACACTGCCAGCGAAATATCCTCAACCCCCTGGCCTAAAAATGGCAGCGAAATATCCCTAACCCCCAGATTTAAAACTGCCAGCGAATATTATCACCCCCTGGCCTGAAACTGCCAGCGACATATCCTCACCCCCTGGCTTAAAACTGCCAGCGAAATATCCTGAACCCCCTGGCATAAAACTGCCAGCGAAATATCCGTAACCCCCTGGCCTAAAACTGCCGGCGAAATGTCCTCACCCCCGGGCCTAAAACTGCCAGCGAAATATCCTCACCCCCCTGGCCTAAATCTGCCTTCGACATATCCTCTACCCCCTGACCTACAACTGCCAGCGAAATATCATCACACCCCTCGCTGAAAACTGCCAGCGAAATATCCTTACCCTCCGGGCCTGAAACTGCCAGCGAAATATCCGTAACCCCGGGCCTAAAACTGCCAGCGAAATATCCTCAACCCTCTGGCCTACAGCTGCCAGCGAAAAATTCTCCCCCCCTGGCCTAGAACTGCCAGCGACATATCCTCACCCCCCTGACCTAAAACTGCCAGCGAAATATCCTTACACACCTCGCTTAACACTACCAGCGAAATATACTCAACCCTCGGGCCTAAAACTGCCAGCGAAATATCCGTAACCCCCGGGCCTAACACTGCCAGCGAAATATCCTCAACCCCCTGGCCTGAGACTGCCAGCGAAATATCCTCAACTCCCTGACTTACAACTGCCAGCGAAGTATCCTCACACCCCTCCTCCTGGCACATGGTGCTGCTTGGTTACGTTTGGGAAATATCCTCACCGCCCTGGCTTAAAACTTTCAGCGCCATAACCTCACACCCCTCGTTTAAAACTACCAGAGGCATACCCTCACGCCCCTGGTCTCAAGCTGCCAGCGGAATATCCTCACGCCCGTGGCATAAAATTGTCAACGACATATCCTCTCACCCCTGGACTTGCAACTGCCAGCGAAATATCCTCACCCCCTGGCTTAAAACTGCCAGCGAAATATCCTCGACCCCCGGACCTTGAGTTGCCAGCGAAATATCCTCACCCCCGGAAATAAAACTGCCATCTGACGGCTTTGGTGATTTAGTTGCTCTGTCAGTCTTGTCAGTCAATTTTGTACGAACATCGAATTACGGGCTGCGCCCGTACACCATTTGAAGATCTTGAAGCGTGCCAAAACACCATTCGCATGACTTCAACACAACGAGTCAACCTGACTGGTGCGTCTTGAGGATGCTGAATCGTGCCTGAACACCGTTCCTGGGACTTCAGCACGGCGAAGCAATCTCATTGCTGCGCCTTGACAATATAGAACCGTCCCAACACGTTTTCGTTGCTGGCACATTAGCCCGAGTGAGAGTTCCAGTGAAAACGAATGTGCGCGGCGCTAAGGCGAGAGCCTCGGTTCCACAATGCGCCGCCGTCAGTCCGTGTCCAGCTCTTCCAAATGGTTAACCAAGGGCTCCCTCGAGGGCGCGAAGTTATTCGCGCTTCGCGCTTCGCGGTCCTCGTTCCTTCTCCCCCTCCTCCTCGTCCTCCTATTCTCCCTTTGGGAGGGCGGCGCGAGAGCGCGAAGTTATTCGCGCTTCGCGCTTCGCGCAGCGCGAAGCGCGAAGCTGGGAGCCCTTGTTAACGCGAGGGCGTGCGGCTTTGAGGCGAGAGCCACACCCTGAAAGCCACCTTTCCTCCGTCCGTGAAGCCCCCGCACAGGTTCGACACGAAGGTGCGCGGCGCCGAGGCGAGAACCACATCTCGAAAGCCCTCCGCCCTCAATTCGTGAAGCTGCTGCCAGCTTTTAGTAAGCCTGAGGCCCATGACCCGTGAGGAAGTCTCAGGCGAAGCGCCCGGACCGCCCCTCGACTGGCCTCAGGGTGCGACGGGGAGGAGTTGCGCATTCATGAAGAACAGGAATGGAGCGAGGAGGAGGTGGAGGAGGGAGGACGAGGAGGGGGGGGGGCAGGAGGAGGGGGAGTCCACCTCCAGATTGTCCGGCGGGGCGGAAAGTGCAGGTGCGCGCGGTGCCCGGGATGTGGGCCCTGATCGAACCGCACCTGCGGCGCGCGGCCGCGCTGGCGGCCGAGACCTACGGCGGGGAGCCGGGCCTCGAGTTTCACGACGTGTTCGTGGTCGCGGGGGCGGGGGGGGGGGCGGAGTGTCAAGACGGAGGGGGGGGCAGGGAGGAGGAGGAGGAGGAGGAGGAGAGGAGGAGAGGAGGAGGAGGAGGAGGAGGAGGAAGAGAGGAGGAGGAGGTGGAGGAGGAGGAAGAGGAGGTGGAGGAGGAGGACCAGGGACCAGGGTGAAGGGGACGCAGTGTCCCACGGGGGCCCCTACGAGCTCCGAGGGGGACCCTCCGTGGAGCCCCGCCTGGGAGAGAGCCCCACGCCAGCCTCTGGAGGTCCCCCTTTGAAGTCACTCCCAGGTTGGAGGCCTACCCCAGCCTGGATGACACGAAGGGCGTGCTTGACCGCTGTGGGCGGCCCGCTGTGGCTGGGGTAGTGGCCCTTGTTGATTCTCGCAGGGTATTATTTACCCTTGCGGGTGGGCTGGCCACAACTGTGCTCGGCCATCTTCACTCAGTTAGACGTGGCCATGCCAAACAAACAGACTGTGCTCTGTCCAGAACTGCAACGAGTGGGAAGGGTGAACCTCCCCTCCGTAGTCACTGCACGGCTCGCAGGCTGTGATTCGACTACTGACGCCGACCCCTCCAGCCACCTCTGGGGCTGGGGCGGGAATGCACGGCGTACGGGCCGCCGCCTCCACACGGGGCCCAGGGGACCAGGACCCGACAGGACCGACCAAGCCACCCGCCACCCTGGACGGTGGTGCAGGGCGTGCGGGCTGGCTTCCAGAACGCGGGGTGCACCTCGGGTTGGAGGCGGCCCGTGCCCTCGGCGGCCTCTGGGCCTCCCAGGCATCCACAGACAGAGTGCCGACAAGAGCCCTGCGAGCCCACCGGCGCACCCGCGCCGCGGTCGCGTCCACGACGTCGGTCCTGCGGGCTCTGCCGACCAGACACCGAGTCCGGGCCGCCGAGGCCGCAGGGCCCGCCAGGGCATCGGCACGGGAGTTACCAGTGGCTCTGAAAAGGAGCTCAGGATCGGCAACACCCCAACATACTTAGACTATGTGTGCGTCGCCCCCCCCCAGGGGCGACGCGCGCACCGAGAAATCTTATAGTATATGCGTCGTGGCGGGCGGTTTCTGGCCACACCGCTCGGGAAACGATATACTACAAGATGGGTATACTATATGTTTGGGTCGGACGCGCGCCTCCAAGGAGAACATATAGTACTAGTATGTCTTTGTGCGTCCCACAGGAGTGCCCAATGAGCCTCGTCCATGTGGGACGGGACCCAGACCACGTGGACCTCCATGGGCCCAGAGGGGTCCTCGCCTCCAGAGCCTGCTGATGGGAGAGAGCCCCTCGAGACCAGGGCACACCGAATGCTGGCCCGAAGATCCCCATTGGAACCTCTGGTGCGAAAAAAACTGCCAGCATTCCAGCCGAGGAACAAGCCCCGGTTGTCAGTGTAGCAGAATACTTTTGTTGTCGAGCCCTCGAGCGCGAGAGCGAAGGCGGTGAGCTCCGCCCTGGGCACAGTTTGGCGGGAAACGACTCCGCCGAGACCTCCTCCTGCAAACTGCCAGGCGGCAGAGCGGCGGTGGAGGGCACAGAAGCCCGCACCGCAGCGTCTCCTGCGCACATCATCGGTGTGCTCACCGCCATTGCCGTCGCCGAAGATGTGGATGGCCCCACCTGCCTCGCAGCAGCCCTCGACGTCGAGGCCAATCTTGATGCTTCAGTCAGCCTCGTCCTCGTTGAATGTCGGCGTGGTGTCCGCCTCCCTGGGAAGCCCCCGCAGCCACCTCGAGGGCGACATTTCATGTTGCATGCACCCTCGCCTGCTCTCGCAGGTGCTCGGTCTTGCCGTAGTCGTCGTGCCCTGTGTTGAGGGGGGGGCGCGCCCAGATGCGGTGGCAGTCGTCCTCGTCCGCTGTGCCGCACCTCGGGCAGGTGCGACTGACCTGATGCCCAGCTTCGGCCTGGCGAACCCGAGGCCACTGGTCTCCCGCGATGACGATGAGGTTCTGGCTGAAGGGGTCCATCATGCCCTCGGAAGCGGCGCTGCTCGCGGATAACCCCGCGCGTGCCAGCGCCGTCGCAGAGGTCGGCCCCGTGGTGACGCCTGCTGGCCCTGGCCTGCAGCTGCCTCTTGACCGCCACGACGAGCTCCGCCCCCCACGGCCGGCGCGTCCTCGTCTGCGTCGGCGCCCTCGGGGAGTCTCCGGCCGCTCCCCGCGTCGGTGACCCAGCGGGCGGCGGCCTCGGGGCCCAGAAACCTGACCTCAGATTTACATAGAAAACTCGAAATTATTGGAATAAAATCTACTCCAAAGTTCTCTGCTCCGATTCTGGGCACTCTTACGCGTGGAAGGAGCTCTACGAGGTTCCCGGCGGTGACCAGGTTGACGGTTCACCGCCGGCGCCAGTACCTCGTAGAGCTCTCCGGGCCCACGTCCGCGAGGAGGGCGCCGAGGGCCGCCGTGGGCCCACAGGCGGCCCTCTCCGTCGCCCGCGGGGCCTAGCCTCCGCCATAGCTCGGCCCCGCTCTTCGGCCCGGCCCCGGGCGACGCGGCGGGGGAGCCGCGGGGCCCTGCGCCACAAGGCGAGCCGCGCCGCCGGGAGCTGGCGCCCCAGCTCGATGGCGGGGCCCCTGCCCCCGTCCCAGACCCCCTCGAGTAATGAAAAAATCACGACGGGAGGTTTTTCCTAAGTTTCGGCCTTTGGGGCCCCTCACCGGGCCTCGGGAGCGTCAAAAAACGACTCAGGATGCAAAGCCGGTCATGGGGAAAGGGTCGGGACCTCTGGGGGTCGACGTAATGAAAAAATCATTACGTCGGGGGTCTGGGGTGCAGGGCGGCGAGGAGGCCGGCGAGGCATCTGCCCGGGGCCCGCGGCCGGCAGCTGACGCGGCCGCCGACCTCTCCAGGCGCAGCACCGCGGACGGCGCCAGCCCGAGCGCCTGGTACCCGTGCGTGGCCTCGGGCTGGACAGCAGTGGACCCCAGCGCCCTCGCGAGCTTCCTGAGGAGGGACCTGCTTCGCATCCTGGCAATCCTCCTGAACACGGAATGCGCCGCCTTTTTTGCAGGAGGAAAAGAAACACACAGACACAATTAATCCTGGATTCCCCAGAAAATATGGGAAAATATGGGAAGTGGGCGGGAAGACAGAAACCCAGAAAATATAGGAAAATATGTGGAATCTTTTTATTTGTGTGTATTTATTTGTGTGTCCTGGGGCCCCTTCATTTTTCCTGGCGTCCGTCTTGCGCTGCGGCCTCCCCCTCCCCGCTGCCGCGTCGACGCCAAGGTCGACGGCAGTGGCTTCGGCCTGGCACGGGATCCCCCTGCCTGCGTTGCAGGGCCCTGCTGAGCTCGCGGCCCAGCGCAGGATGACTTCACATGAGGGCCGTCTTGCCCGACACCGTCAAGTTCTGCGCGTCGAGGCCCTCCTTGAGCGCGACCGCCGCTCCGAGGATGGTGGATCGCAGTCTGCCCTGCGTGCCCTCTGCCCTGGCGGCGGTGTCGTCCAAGGACGCGCACAGCTGCGCATGCGCCCACTTGCGGTGGGCCTCCGCGATGATGGGCCTCAGGAAGAGCTTCGCACACATGTTGCCGTGTGAAGAGCCCGCAACCGCCGATCTGCCGGGGCCGATGAGGGGCCCGAGCCACATGTGCTGCCCGAGCCTCCTCGGGGCCATGAAGAGCTGGGTCTCGAGGGCCAGCGCGATGGCAGGGAATCCTTGGTTGATGCCGACCTTGAGGAGGCGGTCGAAGCCTATACCGTCGTAGAGCTTGGTGATGTCCAGGAGGAGGGTGGCCGTGCGGAAGCCCATGACGAGGGCCGTCTCGTCCATCATCGAGCGCGCGATGGTAGCCTCCAAGGCCGACGAGCCTTTGATGGCAGTGCCCCACCAGTGGTGCTCAGCTTCTGCCCAGCGGTCGGCGGCAGCAGACCTGGCTTTCGACCATGTCTTGGCGACCGTGGCGAGCATGCCCAGCGCGCGGCCACCACCCGAGGCCTTATGCACCGCAGCTCCAATGGTGGTGGTGAGCTGCCACGGCCACATCCCCTGGCCTCCGCAAGGTTGCGGAGGCCGGCCAGGTCCTGCCCGGCCTTGCACGGGGGCCTCCGAATGCCCGTCGCTGCAGAGTTGTCGAGGCCATTGGCCTTGCTGGCGCTGAAGTCCGCGCCAGGGCGCTGTCCAGCATGTCAAAATGGTGATGAGCTCGAGGGGGGGGGCTCGCTGGCCAGGCGCAGGAGCTCCCTCCTCCTCTTCCTCCTCCTCCTCCTCCTCCTCCACCTCCTCCTCCTCCTCCTCCTCCTCCTCCTCCTCCTCCCTCCTCCCTCCTCCTCCTCCTCCTCCTCCTCCTCCTCCTCCTCCTCCTCCTCGCCTCCTGGTCGAACTCGGGATCGGCCCAGACCGTCTCCCAAGCACGGGGTCGGCCACCGCGGTGTCGCCAGTGCGGATCTCTGCCCGGCTTCGCTGTGGCCGGGCATGCTTGCACATCAGCCCCGCCTTCTTCTGCCAGGATTCCTGGGCCCACTTGCTGAAGCCTCTCCTCGCGCTGCTCAATGACCTCCCAGGGGTGCGGCTGGACCACCGCTCTGACAGGGCGCGGAGGGTGTCTGCACATTGCAGCGCGTCCTCCGTCCCCCGCTGCGTGACCTATCTGGCGCTTCGGTGGGCGAGTTCCGCCAAGTCCGCAGGGCTCCTGTCCTGGAGGCAGTGTTCGCTCTGACTCTCCTTGGCCTCAGGCACCGCCACCACTCCCCCAGCTGCCTCCCGAACCTCCTCGGAGACGTGGTACGGCCTGGCGGTGTCCTCCTCGACGTGCTTGCTGGTTGTGTCGAGGTGGGTGTCCCGAGACTCAGGCGGAACCTCCTGTGCTCTGCGGTTCTTGGCCTCCGCGATCTTCTTGGACCTCTCGCTCGTGGGGTCCGCCTCCTTGGGCGGGCGATGCCGCGTTGGGAGGGCATGGGATGGCCTTCGCCATCCGCAGCTCCACGTGGTATCACTTGGTGTCGGAGCCCTAGATGGCGACATCGATCGCTCAGGGTCTTCCAGGAGGCTGCGGTGATGCCCTCAAGGGAGAGCCTGCGATGCCAGTCCTGCTTGGCGATGGCATAGTCGTACATGCGTCCCTTCCCCTTGTCGCAAGTGCTGTCGACGTTGCGCGGGGCGACGATGACTCCCCCCACCTAAGCAAGCCAGGCGCTCCTGTCCTACTCGCAGGGCTCCGCGTTCCAGTCCGCCATGACCACCCAAGGGTCGCGAGGGGTGGTGCGGAAGGAGCCTGGCGCGAGTACACCTTAGGCGATGCTTAAGAACACTTAAATGTTCGGCCAGAGTCTCGATTATTCTTAATGTTTCAATGTAAATCCTAAGATTTGAATGGAAACGTTGGGTTTTTATTCAAGTTCTGAGACTATGAATTTCTTAACCCATGATTTCTTAAGCATTTCGCAGGGTGTAGCCTGGCCCTGTTGACGCCATTGAACTTGAGGCCAGGCCAGAGGTTCGGAGGGCGCAGATGCGACACCAACACCACCAGGGGGCCCACCTCCAGCGAGGAGGTCCACGATGCCTCCCCGAGCTGGATGCTGGGGATGTCTCGAGCGAGAGGGGGGGGGCCACACCACCAGGGAGACCCCCCCCTTTGCTCCTCGCATCTCCTCGCCCTGTTGGTGTTGGTGTCGCCTTTGCTTGTTCCTAGAGGTAGGCGACGACCAGGGCGACGCTGCCCTCCTTGAGATACAGCGCGCGCGGGCAGAACCCCAAGAGGAGCCCACTGCCTTTGGCCGCACGCCGCTGCGTGCGGCGGGCCTCGAAGGCGGTGCCCGCCGCCGCCTTGCGCACGCGCCGTCCCTCGCAGCCAGCGGGTGCCATCCTGGGACTTCTCCCCGAGGCCGTGGCGGGGGCGCCGGCAACCTTCCACCCGTCCCTGCTCCTCCTCCTCCTCCTCCTCCTCCACCTCCTCCTCCTCCTCCTCCTGCTCCTCCTCCTCCTCCTCCTCCTCCTTCTCCTCTTCCTCCTCCTCCTCCTCCTCCTCCTCCTCCTCCTCCTCCTCCTCCTCAGGGGGGGCCTCTCATCTCGGCCCTCAGGGCAGCGGCCTTGGCGGCTCCCATCGCCAGGATCCTCAACGTGGTCGACGATGACTCGCGCCCTGCGACTTGACCTCGCACCATGGTAGCCCAGCAGCTGGCCGCTGCTTATCGGGCCTTCTGCACGAAGATGGTGGAGGCCAACCTGCCGCTCAGCAGAAACAAGACCAAGGCGCTGGCCACCAGCAGCAAACTACGTGATGCCCTCAAATGCCAGCCTGGCTGGGACATCGTGGAGGGCGACTTCGTGGACGTGCACAGGGACCTTGGCGGCGACGCCGTGTCGGGTTCCTACCGACGTGCGACGACCTCAGCGGCTCGTGGAAAAGGCCGCTCGATGCCAAGGGAGGAAGCTCACCAGGCTGTTCAGACCCTCGATCATCCGAGCGAGTGTCTTCAGAGCAGGCCACGCTGCGAAAGCCTCTTGGGGCTCGGCGATCATGGGGCTACCCAACGGCCGCCTCCGTCGGCTGCGCGTCGGGGCCATCAAGGCGAGATGCCGACTGGCCCGCGGGGCCGCCCTGGGACTGGCCAGCCTTGGCCAGTCAGGTGGCTGGAAGCGGGACCTTCTGACGATCGTCACCAAGACGGCGCTGATGGCCTGCGTCGAGATGGTCTGGGCCTCCCTGCCCCCCGAGGCGGCGGCCCGTTCCCGCCTCGCCACTGGCCTGTGCATCGCTAGTCGGCTGCACCCTTGGCGCCTGGTGAAGGAGCCGATCAGCGCCTTGGTGCTCACGCTTGAGCGGGTCGGCTGGGGATTCATCAACGGCGACCCCTACAGGCTCCACGACGCGCTGGGCCACGAGTATCAAGTACGTCGCTACTCGCCTGCATTTTTCGGCCACGTGGTCTTCCTGGACTGCCGACGAGCCATAGGGCTCGAGGAGGTGAAGCGGCACGGCTCCAGCATGTGGGGCTGGGAGGTCCCACCCTTCTGGCAGCCGGTCCTCGACCTGGCCAGCCACCGCTCTGAGGTGTGGGACCTGCACCACCAGAGGGCGCTGCGCTGCCTCATCCAGAACACCTAATGGTGCCAGGCCAGGGTCGGAGCGGAGGACCCCTCCGTCCCCGAGAGCTGCCAGCTCTGCGACCACCCAGTCGGCTCCCTCTTCCACAGGAGGTTCAGGTGCCAGGCTCATGATGGCTGGAGGCGCGAGTTCCCGGGGCCGCCTTTGTGGGAGGCGGCTGCGCGAGCCGAGCTCATGGGCCGCCCGTTCACGGAGCTGTTCGCAAGGGGGCTGTTTCCCGACATCTCTGAGTTGGTCCAGAGACCGCTCCGAACCGACGACGATTTCAAGCGCGCGACCAGCGGGCCGAATCTTGGGCCCTGCGCCGACGGTGAGCACGTCTTCGCGGACGGCTCAGGGCTCGATCAAAACTGCCCGAGCCTGAGGGCAGCTGGCTGGTCCATCATCGTCTTCGACAAGCACCGCAAGCTGGTCGCCGAGGCGTGAGGTTCGGCCCCGCTGTCGGGAGGTCCTGAGCAGCTGGCCAGAGACGGAGAGGACTACGAAGTGAAGGTCCTCACCGACGCCGTCTCTGGGGCCCCCCCTCAAGCTCTACTGCGACTGCTCGCGACGGCGCGATGTGCTGCTAATCCTTCGGCGGGGGCGGCGGGCAGCCAGCGAGCCCGCCTCTGGGCTGGGCGAGCGGAGAGGCCCAAGGGCGCGGAGGTCATCAAAGTCAGGGCCCACTTGGGGCCGCAGGCAGTCAGGGAAGGGCTGATCACGCAGTTCGAGCTTGATGACAACGCCTTGGCCGACGCCCGCGCTAAAGAAGGTGCCCCTGCAGTTGGAGCGGACAGCAGCGACGTCCACTGCATCGGCGGCTGCCAGTTCATCGCTCGCCTCGCGGCGAGGTATGCGGCAGCGCAGGAGGTGCGCATCGCAGGGTCGGGCCTCCGCGATTCCATGGGGGTCGAGGCCCTGGAGATCGTTGACCTGTGCGAGTGGCCCGCCGATCCTGCCGAGGCCTGTGAGGAGGATGCGGCCCCGTCGGCCAGCGCGGGCCCCATTTGCACAGGGGGGGGGTCCGCTGCCTGGCCTAGACGGCTCGCCGTGGCCGTGGCGCGCGCGCGGCCACTCCTTTCTCGCGGCGCCTCTCCCCCCCGAGGCAGGAGAAAATATTGCCCCGCTGTTCTGCGCAACTTGTAGAGGTTATTTTTCGGACAGGAAAGGGCGGGGCCTCCAGGGCTACTGCCCAGGTCGCCCGATCCCGAGCAGTAAGAATAATAATGATGCGATCGCCCTGTGCAAGCGCCCCAATGGGGGTGCGAGAAGGCTTGGTGACCTCAGGCCCCCCTCGGACGCCGAAATCTTGTTTTGGCCCGGGCGCTTTTCCCTTGCGCGCTCAGAGGTGGCCCGCGCGGGGGCCCCGTCGGAGGGCCCGACGAGGCCATCGATTATGGGGGCGCCCCCGCTTTTCGGGCCCCAGCTGGCACAGGGCCAGCTCTTGGGGCCGAGAGCTCTCGAGGCCAGGGCGAGGGCCTTGGCGACCAGGCGGCGGGGCCGCGTGGCCTCTCAACCCGATGACCTCTTCGACCCCTGATCGCTGGCTCCCAGCTGCGGCTGGGGGGAGCTAGGGTCAGGGATTGGAAGGGGTCCTCCGGTTGTCTGAATTTATCTGCATGACCTTTCAGGTCATAGCCTGAGGGGGGGCCTGGTGCTGCGTCAGCTGGCAGGCTGCGCCGCGGGTCTCGACGAGGCCCAGTATCCTGCGGCAGCGGCCCCCCTCGGCGACGAGCCTCGCCACCCGGGGCCCGTTGCCGGCTTCTGTTGGCGAGCAGGCATTGTGCCCTCATTGCCTCCTACGCGCTGTCTGCGCTTATCCTCTGGCGTCTTCCTTTGTGGGCGCCGAGGAAGATACTGGGGCGCCTGGGCATGGCATTCGCCCGTGCTGATATCTGCGCCCCACTGGCCACGACGGGCTCTGAGGCGGGGTTGCCGCGCGCAAGTGGCACCGCATCACCGGGCTCAGCAACCTCAGCTGGCAGAGGCGGTGAGATGCAGGTGCAGGTTTAAGTTGGGGTCCTGGTCGAGGTCGGGAAGGGGTCTCCGTCGCCCTCGCCCAGGCAGTTGACAAGAGCAGGCGCGCCGACGCAGCCCCCTGCCACCTCCTTCGCGTCAATCGACCGCCCACGGCGCTCAGCGCGGGGCTCGCCCGCAGCGCCAGCGCCGCGAGGTACATCGGCAGACCCCGATGAGGTGGCAGCAGCGCCCGCGCCCTTGCCGTCCTTGACGCGGCCTCCCTGGCAGCGGCACCCCCCCGGGGGCCTGCCTTGGCTGCTCGGGCGGCCGCGGCGGCGAGCTCCGCAGCGGTGCGCTAGGTATTCGCTCCTCCTGGGAGGGGGCGGTTGCCGCGGCGTCGGCTGCGGCCGGGAAAACCCCCCCCTCTGAGGCCGCGGGCCGTGGATCCGCAGCCGAGCCTCCTTCCCCAAGTCCGAGGAGGTCTTCGTCTCCAGCACCTGGAACAGGAGGGCCGTCTCCTCCTTCGCTGCTGCTGGCGGCCTTCCGCTTCTCGGCTGCCTCTGCCCCTCCGCCCGCTCGGCGTTCCGCTCGAGATGGGCGCGACAGTTGGCGTCGTAGTTGGCCAGGCTCTCCTCCGCAGTCGCCCGTGGCGACCGTCTCGCGGAGGTTATCCCGGGCCTCTCTCGCGAGCTTCTCGATGCCGTCGGGGGGTCTGAAGGCGAAGAGGACCTGCGTGTCCTCGCCCTCCTGCTGGACACCCGCCTCGAGGCTCCGCCGGCGCAGGGCGGCCTCCACGAGCCGGGCCTCCGCCAGGGCGAGCGCCTTCTCGTGCCGCCGCGCCTTGGCCTCGTCGAGGGCCTGCCCCATCTCCGCGGCGGTCCGCGCGGCGCGTTGTCCAGCGCGTTCTGGTCGTGCGGTCCGCGGCCCACCGCCGACTGGAGCGCTGCGCCGCGGTGCGCGGGCCCCGCGCGCGCCTGGGCCTCGCGCTTGCGGGCCGCCTCGGAGGCGGGGCGCAGGGCCTCTGCCGCTTCGGGGTCGGGCGCTGCGAGGGGCGTCTCCGGCTCGCTGGCGGGCGGGGTGGCCTCTCGCGTCCACGCGGGGCCTCGGGGAAGCCTGGCTGGTACTGGCTGGTGTCGGCGGCGGCGGCGGCAGCATCACCTCCCTTGTCCACCCTTGTCAGCCTTGTCGCCCTCGCCCTTGCCCTTGGCGCCCCTGTCGACTGCGGGCTTGCCTCCCCTGCGCCCAGGCTTCCCGGCATCTCCTGCCCCGTGGGCCCAGGCGCCGCGAGGAGACTGGCCGGGCGAGGAGTGGGCGTGGAGATGCCTGCCACCGTGGAAGCAGACCTCGCTCCCGCGGAAGAAAGGTCCATCTGTCGGGCCGGACGAAAGGGGGGGATGGGGACACGGGGGGGGTACGAAATTAGTTGCATGCAGCTGGTTTCGGCCCCACCGAGGGGCCCATTCCTCGATACATAAGCGCCTCCGGCGCGGGAAGGCGCCGGGAAAATCAGCTACGTGAGCTGATTCCCAACCCCCCCCTTTGCTATCCCCTGCTTTCGCCCGACCCGAATCTGCAGCGGCACGCCGTGCAGATGACATGCCCGGGAGCAGCTGTCGGCGCCACCTCCGGAGGTGGGGAGCTTCCGTAATTAATCCCAGGGGGGGCCCGGCCGCCGAGGGGCGCGCCTCTCCCCCGAGGGAAGGACGGGCCGCCAGTGATCCCCGGAGGTGCTGGCCAGAGGGCGTCGGGCGGGAGTGGCACTGGCACTGGCCGCGGACTGGCGGTCTCCGTGTGGCCCCCAGGGGAGCCCAGCATTTTGAGCCAAAGTGGCTGCGGAAGGAGGAGGCGGAGGAGGAGGAGGAGGAGGAGGAGGAAGAAACATAAGAGGAATACTAACAAGAATATAACGATTAATAACAAGAAAAGGATGATGATGATGATGATGATGATGATGATGATGATGATGATGATGATGATGATGATGATGATGATGATGATGATGATGAGGAGGAGAGGAGGAGAGGAGGGAGGGAGGGAGGAGGAGGAGGAGGAGGAGGAGGAGGAGGAGGAGGAGGAGAAGGAAGAGGAGGAGGAGGGGGGAGGGGGGAGGAGGGGGGCAGGGGGGGGAGAGGGAGGAGGGCGTGAGGAGGAGGAGGAGGAGGAGGAGAGGAGAAGGAGGAGGAAGAGGAGGAGGCGGATTTGGCGCTCGCACAGTGGCTAGGACATCGTAGATCAAGCCCGCGGTCACGTGCCAGAAAACAAATCGGCGATTGCATGGCAGCTAGGACATCGTGGACCATGCCCGCGGCTACGTGCAGGACGAGGATGGGGAGGACGATAATCAAGACAAGTGTGAGGAGGCGGGGGGAATGGGATGGCGGGGAGGAGAACAGGAGCAAGCATACAATTCATCATTGATGGTGTAACACGCTTTCCTGCCCTCAATCCTCGCGTGAGTTCCAACAGGTTTTCCTTCTCGCCTCAGAGGGCGCCCCCCTGAAAGACGAACTTTCCATGGGCTTGCCTTTCAGGCGGGGGCCCCGTCTCGAAACAGAAGCGCCCTGCGACATCCTCAACATTGTCACATACAGTGGGAACGCGCATCAAGAAACCATATACCATATGCTTTTCGTCAGGATATCCTTGGTTTCTTCGCTCCTCGCGCTGTGCGGTGACTTCCCGCAGCCGTTGAAGGAGCTGCTGCGTTCAGGGTGCTCCAGGTTTCCTCTTTGCTGTACCTCGCGCAAGGGTTCTCAGGGTTCGGTTTCTTGCGAGGGTTTCTTGCGGCCGTGCCCGCACTGCACATCCGAGAGCACCATTCGAGTGATAAGGAGGTTGGCGGGGGGTAGTGAACTTGCATCTCTATTGACTTTCCGATTTGCATGCCGATTTCGATGTCCACCTTGTTTGCATGTGGGTATGATTCGCAGTTCGATTGCACGTCGACGTTGTTTCCGATTGGAAACGGATTCGCATGTCGATCTGCGCGTCGATGGGAATTTCGATCTGCAAGTCCATCTGGTGTTAGATTTGCATTCCGGTTGTCATTTCGACGTGCGTGTCGGTGTGTGTTTTTCCGATGTGCAGTCCGGGTTGAATCGACATGTCCATTCCAGAGCGCGTTTTGATGTTCATGTTGGTTTGCACTTATTTTGGCATTTCGATTTGCAGCTATGTGGTAGGTCGATTGCGTTTTGATGTGCAGTATGATTGCGTTGACATTATCGTTTCGATTTGCGGTTCGACGTGCGTCTCTTTTCTACTTGGGCTTGCATGTAGATTGGCGAGTTGGTTTTCTTTTCGGCTAGTGTACCGATGGCAGTGCCGAGCGTATTCTGTGTGTCAGGTGTTCAGCTCGAGTATCGTGACTCGGGTTGCGCATCGTCTGCGATCAGACCTGCACGGCGATTTGCGGTTCTAATTGGTGGGGTCTGTGATGGTCTTCGCTGGGGTTTACCAGCCTGGAACATATCCCTATCCCTATGCTGAGCACCTCCTCATCACGATGCCAATCTTAGGGATTCCCTTGTGTTTTGAGCGCGAATCCCTGGGGATGGAGTGGGAGGGGGGGCAGCAGGAGCCGACGGGGGAGAGGCCCAACGCGACCCCAGAGGTGGCAGCCGCGCGGGGGCCCGCGGCGGGTCCCCGCTGGAGCCAGGGAGGGGGCAGGAGGGCAGGAGGGCACCCATCCCGCTGCCCTTGCCTCGCCTTCGCCGACTCGGGCCTCCTGGGAGGCCCTCGCCGCCAGCGCCGGAGCCGCCTCGGCATCCTGGTCAGAGCGCACCCCGATGGGTGGTCCCCGGGAGCGGCGGCCGCGGCACCCAAGTTGGCGCCCCCGGGCCGGGTGGAGGACGGAGGAGGGGATACAGAAGGAGGAGGAGGAGGAGGAGGAGGAGGAGGAGGAGGACGAGGGAGGAGGAGAGAGGAGGAGGGGAGGGGAGGAGAGGCAGAGGAGGAGGAGGAGGAGGAGGAGGAGGAGGAGGCGGAGGCGGAGGCGGAGGAGGCGGAGGCGGGAGGAGGAGGAGGAGGAGGAGGAGGAGGAGGAGGAGGAGAGGAGGCGAGGAGAGAGGGAGGGGAGGAGGAGGAGGAGGATGGAGGGGAAGGAGGAGGGAGGAGGAGAGGGGAACTGGCGCCTGGAGGGGCAGACAGGGAGGGGGATGGGAGGGGGGTGGAGGGGGGGGCGCGCTTCAGGTGCGATACGACGCCAGCGGTCAGCGGTCGCTGGCCTCCCATCAAGACCCGGCGCCCCTGCGCGAGCAAGCGAGAGGAGCGGAGGAGGAGGGGAGGAGGAGGAGGAGAAAGGAGGAGGAGGGAGGAGGAGAGGAGGAGGGAGGAGGAGGAGGAGGAGGAGGAGGAGGAGGAGGAGGAGGAGGGGCAGGAGAAACGCCCTATGGGTCCTCGCGGTTTCCTGTGTCCAGCTGCGCTGCCGCGCACAGCGCTGCCACAGACATCTGCAACCGTGGTCGGGGAAGCAGCGTGCCACTGCTGTAGTGTGGTATGGCTGTGGGGTTGCGTTGCTGTTGCCTTGCTTCTTGACTGCCTTGCTGCCAGGACAAGGTGTATGAGGACGAGGAGGATGTGGATGAGGATCGGGAGGGCGAAGTAAAGGGGGGGAGTAGGAGCATTCATTACCACTATTGTTGTTCCTCGTCTGGCCTGTCTTGCGCTCTGGCGAAGCCGGGATACCGTGCAGAAAACCGTTGACGCATACGTGGCGCGCGTTGTGCTTGCGTGCTTCGCAGCTCCGCAAAAACTAATCCCTTTGCTTTATTGCGGCCTTATTTGGGTCTTCGTAGGGGCGTCTCGGGATTGCGGGGGTATCGTTGGGGCTGTTGGGCCGTCGATGAGGGAGGGGGCTTGGGCTGGTTTGGGGGTGTTCGAGCCGTCTTGCGGATTCTTTGGCTGTCTTGGGCAGGTGTTTGGATTGGGACTCTTCCAGTCGCTTTGTGAGTCTCCAGCCGTTTTGTGGAGTCTTTGAGCTGGCCTCCTGGGAGCTTCCCAGGCAGAGGGTTCGAAATGACCGTTCGGGTCCCCCGTCTGGGCTCCCTCGTGGAGCCGTCTCGAAAGCCTCTTCGGCTGTCTTGGAGGTCTCTTGGGCGGTCTTGGGGCCCTCTTGAATCGTTTTGGGGCTGAGGCCTCTTGGGTTATCTTGGGGTGGTCTGGGGGACCTCTTGGCCTGTCTTGGAGCGTCGGGAAGCTGACAAGGCGAGAATGCCGAAACCTTTCAAGGGAAATCGATGATTTGTATCCCTTGGGGCCCTCTTGGAAGTCCTCTTGGAGGCCTCTTGGGGCGTTTTGGAAACCTTATGAGCCGTCTGGAGGCTGCTTTGGCGACTCGGACCAATACTTCGGCGATTCGGGGCCCTCGAGGGCCGTCTTGGGGGCATCTTGGGGCACTTTTGCCGTGTCTTGGAGCTTTTCTGGGCCCCCGATCCGCGCGACCCTCCCCGGGACCCCCCCTGGACCCCCCCCTGGGACCGCTCCGGCCCCCCCCCCCCCCAGGGACCCTCCCCTTTCCCCCCGGCGGAGAAGGGATCAAATGGAAGGGTCAACTACAACTATGGCTGGCGCGGTCGAGGAGGAGGGCGCGGTGGAAGTGGGGGGAGCGGCGACGGGCCTAGGGAAAGGGGAGGGGAGCGGCGAAGGCGACGACGACGACGACGACGACGACGACGACGACGACAACGACCACGACGACGACGAATTAAACGGAACAGCCTCTTCCACACGTCGACAGGGTCGGCGGATTTGGTCCTCTCGCGCGCGATGTGCGCCGTGCTCCATTCGGGCCACGCATTCCTGCAATTTCGACAACCGCTCCTACTGAAAGGAGCATCGCCGATTTCGTGATACTCTTCGCAGCCAGGTAAACTGGAGCGTCGCGATTGCGGGGTGGGGGCTAGTTAGCGGCTGTGTGGGGGAGTAAATGCGTATACAAGCGCAGAATATGGGGGAATGGTGTCGTCGCGCCCTAGTGTTGGCCCCCCTTTTGGGGTTGCGTGCCCCTCGGGGCGCCAGTCGGCCAGTGCAGCTTCCGCTGTAGGCCTTACGATGGTCTGCGGCGTGAGTTGCATGGGTTGGAAGGACCCCTCCCATAGTGCAGTTCAGTTTTGTTCGGGCCGATGTCAGTGACCTGGATAGGGTCTCCATGATGTTCTGCTCTGCTTTGCTCCTCCTCCGCTTCGTCCTCCGCCCTGCTCCTCGCGGCTCCCGATTGCACCGCCCTGTTGATTGACAGCAGCGCTGCGGTGCAGGCGGGGGAGCGTAGGCCGCGAGGCGTCGGTATGCAAACTTTCTCCGGTCCATCGTCATGTGCACTCTCACGCATATCGCGGCAATTTTCACTTTGTTCGGCTAGACGTTGGGCGGGCAATGCTCACCCCGCACCGTGGTAGCGCGGAGCAGAACAAGTTTAGGGAGGGGGGAAGAGAAGGAGAGTAGGGATGATGCTGCTGCTGCTGCTGCTGCTGCTGCTGCTGATGGTGGTGGTGGTGATGATGATGCTGATGATGATGATGATGCTGATGATGATGATGCTGATGATGATGCTGATGCTGATGCTGATGCTGATGATGATGATGATGATGATGATGATGATGATGATGATGATGATGATGATGATGATGATGATGCTGCTGCTGCTGCTGCTGATGATGATGCTGAGATGATGATGATGATGATTGATGATGATGATGATGATGATGATGTGATGATGATGATGATGATGATGATGACGATTGATGCGGAGGAGGAGGAGGAGGAGGAGGAGGAGGAGGAGGAGGAGGAGGAGGAGGAGGAGGAGGAGGAGGAAGTGGAGGTGGGCAAGGATGGGGTTGGGGAAGGAGGAAGGGACGGATAAGGAAGACGACGGTGAGAACAGTGCTGGGGACGTGGGGGAGACAATGGGGAACGATGGAGGGGAGGGAGGGGGGGAGGCAGGGACGGCGGTCGAGGGCGAGGAGGGACGGGAGGAGCTGCTTGACCGTACGGGCGGTCGGAGCGTGCGCCAGGACGGGTCCCGGGTAACGCTCCAGGCGGCGCTCAACGAGGAGCTCCGCGGGCACGGCACGGGGTCGGCCCCGGGCGAGGTCGCGTGGCTCGCAGCAGCCCTCCCCCTTACCCCCCCCGCTCCCGCCCCTCCCTCTCCCTCCCCTCCCTCCCCTCCCCCCCTCGATCCGTGGCTTCTCCCCCCGACCCCGCGCCGTCCCCTCTCCCCTCATCCCTCCCCCCTCCCCTCCCTCCCCTCCACCTCCCTTCTCCCTTCCCTTGCGCCCCCCCCCCCCCCCCGACCCCGCGCCTCCCCTCGACGACAAGAGCCTGCTTCTTCCAGGCCCGGGGCGGTCGCGGCCGTGCTCGGCCCTCTCCCTCCAGGCCCCCCCCCCTCTCCGGATCACGTCGCGCTACTGGCCTCCAGAGGTTTCTAGGGGGCCCCCCTTCCTCTTCACCCACTCTTTCCTCCCTTCCACCTCATCCTCTCCTCTCTCCTTCCTCCTCCTCCTCCTCCTCCTCCTCCTCCTCTTCCTCCTCCTCCTCCTCCTCCTCCTCCTCCTCCTCCTCCTCCTCCTTCTCTCCTCCTCAGGCTCCCTCCCCTACCCCTACCTATGGCAGCGGTGGTAGAACATCGGCTCCTCAGAGGCAGCTTTCTATCGGGGGCGGACAGAACCCCCAATAGTGACACGTCGATTAGTGAATTGTGCGTTTTCGGTTCTCGAGAGTTCGCCGCGGCCGTCATTTTCCAGGCTTGCGCCCGCCAGGTTTGGGTCTCAGGTCGTTTTCACTAAACCACGTTTTACTAAAGGGAGGTCTGTCCATCCCCGATTCTAGAGGCCCCCAGGGGCTGGTGGCGATGAGCCTCCGGTTGATTAGTCGCCCCCCGTTCACCTCGAAAGCACGCTGCGCTGCTCTCGTGCGTGCGCCGTCCTGTGGTCAGTGTGGTGCTCTCTGGCGCGCCGTCGTGCTCGCAGGCCTTGGCCGTGCGCGCAGGGGCGCTTTAGGTGCTCACGGCGGCGCCGCTCCGTGGTGTGAGCGGGGGGTGATGAGCTCTTCTAACGGATTCTTCCGGGGATTTCTTGGGATTTGAGGCGGCGCCCCGCCGTGGCTTCATCGCCCCCTCCCCTGCCCCTCCTCCTCCTCCTCCTCCTCCTGCCCCTCCTCCTCGGTCGGGCTTTTCTGCGAATGTCGCAGTCTTTTTGGCCGCGTCGGGGCTGCGGGGAACGCCGCGCGGGCCGCCTGGAGCGGCGCGGGGGCCCCGCCGGCGGCACAGTCGACGAGACCCCTCCCCCTTGTCCCGATCACGCGAGTTGTCACGCCCGAAGAGACCGACAGCAGAACCCTCCGTCGGGCTTCCCAAGCCAAGCGACACATGATATCGAATCATGTGGCTTCACAGTTGGCGGCTGATTGGGTTCTCTCGGAAGAAGACATGGGCGAACGATGTGTCTACATTGAGGTTGTTCGGATCAAAGCTGCCGAGATAATCCAGTGCGTAACGATCATATTCGCAGGCTCACCGATTTGATAGAGAAGCGCCACGCTGAGACAACACATGCGAGCAAACCAGAGCGGCTCTCAGGACATTGATGTTCAGTGCTGGTCGGATCATCAAAAGATCTGGGTAAAGTTTTAAATTGCGGCAGTACCAAACACATGACCAAAGCCAGAAGCAATCCAGTTTACGACTACGTGCCCAGCGTGACGAAAGAGGACGTCGACGAAAAAACACCGACAGGACATCGCTGACACGTTCGCTTCGTTTTGCGAGCATCTGCCCAAGGACCACAGCGCTGCTGACACCATGCTGAACGTAGGGAGCACGGGAAGTAATGCACAACAAGCACAGTCGACGGTCGATGTAATATTGCCTTTTGTCTCAGACAAAGATTCCAGCGCGTCGTCCGGCAACTACTTAACCCCAGGTGTTCAAACACTGAAGGCATCACCACTTATATATGATCCTGCCAAGAAACAGAAACATGCAGCAGCATCTGCTTAGACTACGCAGCGACAGCCTTCGCGAGCTGGAGCCCTTGCGGCAATGGAGACAGACCGTGACAAACCAGGAGGTCCACGACTGTCAAAAAAGTACAGACATTGTTACCATCTGGAGGCTGTATAAACTGCCGGCGAGGTTCTTCAACGACCAACTCGACGCCGTCTTCCACGCGGAGCATGCAAATCGGGACCAAATTGAATTCCGGAGGGTTTTAGTTCGGAAGGCCTTTTGTTTACGACGCCAAGAGTCCGGATTGCTCCAAGTATTGAACGGTTTTTTTTGCGTTGCGTTGCCTGGGCCGTGTTTCCAATGACCTCGATTCAACAGACCGCGAGCACTTGTGGGCATCGCTTCGAGCCCGACGCGTACCACCCGCTTATATGCACTTCGATCGACAAATCCACGCGAAACAAAAAGCCAACGTAATAAAATGGCAACAAAAGCCGACCTTTCAGCATTGGAAGGAGCGGTGGGCCTCGGAAGCCCGCTGAGAGCATTTATCGTAAACGAGGTCTTTGAGCATGCGTTTCACGCAGTCAAGGTCGCCGGGCACCACAGGCCTTGGTGCAGGGGTCGGTTTGCCATTTTGCTCGCGTTCTTCAGTCTGTCGAATTTGTGATCGGCCATCGGCGCGATGCTCTTCGCGCCCAACCTGCGGCAATCAATATGCTTAATTCGGGGCCTGAGAGAATGCGCGGTTCCACTTGGGCTCTACCAGCGCCAGGATAAGGCCGCGGACATCGCCGGCGTCAGCATTCGAGCGAGACGCGTCGCTCATTCCTCAAGGCTGGTAAAGACTACATCGAAATTCGGAACTTCGGCGCGACCTTGAAACATCTGGGGCGCCGCGCATCTCGCCGCGAACAGCAAGCCGCCAGATTCCCCCGCCGGGTCGCGTCAGGCTGGCGCAGATTGAATAAGTTTCGGCGCGAGTTGTCGAGCGATCAGTTCCCGTTGCGTTTCCGTTTCCGCCTGCTCAATGCTTCAGTCGCGTTTGCCAGCGCGTTATCAATGCATTATATATACATATATGTGTATGTATGTGTGCATGTATGTCTGCATGCGTGTATGTCTGCATGCGTGTATGCAGGTATATACATGTAAACATATAGATGCGTGCATGAGCGAGCTTGCGAATATGGCCGAGTAGATGCTCCGAATTCTACGCGGTGGTGCCAGGCCCAGACGGCTGCGCAGACGACGGTGGGCGCCGCCATGGCGATGTCCATTCCGACGACCATGCGCTCCCGAAGTGTTCGACGCCACAAGCCGATGGCGTCCACGAGGATGAGGAATTAGAATCGTTGGTTTCCTTATCCGACGTGTGGCCAGCGTTGCAGCTTACTTCCTCGCCAAGGGCGCAGGCCCCCCCTTGGCTCGGCGGGTCACGAGGCCCGCGCCTCGCCGGCGGCCTGCAAGTCGGCGCCGCCCTCCGAGGCCGCTGGCCCGCGTCTCCCGACGGTGATCTGCGCGACGAGCTGACAGCGGGCAGGTCTTTCTAGTGGTTGGCGCAAGCATGCGACGCCGCCCTGCCTGCGGCCCTCCGCGTTTCGCCGCGGCCCACTGGTGGGCCGCGGCGCATGCGGCGCAAGCGCCCGCGCCAGATCTCTTGATATCCGGCAATTCCCGTGGGGCCGTAAGCGGGGAGGTGTCGCGTGTTTGCTGGCCCGCGTGGGGCTTGATTCTACGGGCATGCGCCCCGTCCGCCGATCCTTCAAGTCCTGCGAGCGATGCCCGTTTGGGTGGCCACTTCGGAGATGGACTCTGCAGTGGCTCTACGCATGCCGAAGCCTGATTTCAGCGGCGCTTTCGCTCTCGACTCCGGGGCCCGCTTGCCGGCGGCGCTCTAGGATCTGCCCGCCCTGGCGCGGGCCCCGTCGAGGCCCTTCGCCCTGCCGGCTGGACAGGCGTTCCATCCGCCGGGGGTCTGCGGCGCAGCGAGGGGGCCCCTCTGGCCGCCGCCTGCCCCTTTGCATCGCGGCGCGCAGCCGAGCAGGCCCCCCGCCAACCTGCCCCCGCTGCAGAGGGCGCCGAGGACCTGATCTCCTTCCCCAGCCTGGTGCATCGAAAAAATCGAGATGTGGATTTTCACAGCGTTCGGCCCCCGGGGGCCCACGACGGGCCCCGGGGCCGTCGAGGAAGGACTCGGGATGAGAAACTGGCCCCGGGAGAGTGATCGAAGGGTCGGGGGCCGCATTGCGGAAAAATCGGGGCACTGGGTGTTTGGGTCTCCTGCGACAACGGCGCCCGGGCGGGCGACCGGCGCTCCGCGGCGCGTCTCCTCCGCTCGTCGGCGGGGGGGGCGCGGCGGCGGGGCCCCGCCTGCGCGCGGGGCGGGGGAAGTGCGCGGCGGGCCCGATTGGCGGCGGCGACAGCGGCGAGAACCCGGGCGCCCGCGCTCCCGGCTTCTGTGCGCGAGCGGGCGGCTGTTTCGATTGCCCCGGGGGCGCTGGTCGGCGGCGGCGCCCCCTGCCAGGGCCCTGCCCGGCAGCGAGACGCACGGGCGACCGCGGCCCTCGAGGCGGCGGGCCCGCCAGACAACGCCCCGGCCACCAAGGCAAACACACAGAGAGATGTTCAATGAAAAGTCCGCTTCTCGCGGCAGCGCGCTGGTGACCGCGGGCCTGCTCGCGCCGCGCGGGTCGCCCCGCCCTCGGCCCGAATTGAAGCGGCGATCGGGCCCCCCGCGCGGCCCCCCCGCCTCGCGGGCTCGGGCGGGATCGGACGGGGCGCGAACTCTGAAGGCGGCTGGGGCAACGGCGAGAGATAGCGATCGTTGGTCCACGTCCGTCGTCGAGGCGCGCTACTTTCTTGTGGGGCAAAACGTCTTCGCTTGACATGGCCCGTCTGGGGCTATCGTTACTGCGGTGCAACAGTGCTGACAATGGGCTTCGCCTTAGGTGAAGCTGCTGATTGGGCCTTCCACTCCCCTTCAAGCTTGGTAGCGGAGCTGGCCTATGGTGGTCAGCTCTAGCTCTACTCCTCGCCATCCACGGCACCATCTGGTGGACTACTGACATGGTGGAACATCAGGGTGCAGTGGGTCTGCGTGGAGGAAT